CTACGCACTGAGAATGGCCCAGTTATTCCCGCCTACGGTTCATGACAGCTTACGGTCAACCTGGGCAACCGATGACAGTATCTGTCGACGTTCATCATTGCCGATGTCCCCACAGCCATAGACGGTATCGATTTCCTACAGCACAATGTATTGTTAGTCGATTCACGTAGGTTGCATCTAATCAATAACTCGTCAAACAGTAAATTCATGGGCTTTAAAGTTCAACCAAACGCGTACCGAATCACAGGCGTATTTCATTCGCATGATGGTATATTCCATGCTTTGTCCCAGAAATTCGCCCAATTGACTTGTAGAGGCCGATTTCCTCTATATCTGACTCCAATGAATATCTCGTTAACTGAGCATTAAATTCAGACTGAATCTCCTAGTAGAATTATGGATTTACTCGTGATTATCCAAGAGCCCGAACACTAGTTATAGAGATATTTTATTTTTAAAGATTGGCAAAATCCGGAAGCGTACACGAAGCAAGCACACAGGGAAACGAAGAGAGTGTGTGTGTGTGCACGTGTCTGTGAGTGTTAGAAATTCGTATATATCTATGAGTGTTAATCAAGTATGGATAAATTATTGTTGTCTGTGTCTTACAATAGACTAAAGATTGATGTGCAAAAATGTGCTCAATCATACTCACACAAAATCACATAGTGGGTTAAATGTCTAAATCACAGTGAGCAGATAAATAATACAATAGTTGAATAGGTCTACCAAAAACTAAAGCTCTCGAGGAGATCCTATCGTTGAACTAATCGTGTGGTACACCACATTCACTTGCGGACCTCCGGTCATGGCAAAACCTCGCCGACTAGCACCGGACAAATCAGCTTTCGCTAAAAGTGAGTTTGACAATTCAACAGTTGCTGGTAATATTCGTCCTTCTCACAGTCCCTGGGTGTTATGATTCGTTAATCTTGAATTGCTATTACTGAGTCGTCTTACTCTAACGGAACGAAGGATCAATGATTCAGAGACTCGATAGCTATTCTGGTTCGCTGTCCCCGGCTCTGGTAGCCCGATCAAGAAGTCTGGGTAAGTTGTAAAAAGTGTATTCTACAGACAAACAGCAGATAACAAGTCAGGTCAAGCACACAATCAAGCGTATTTATACAAATATTTACAATCGATATTGCCATGGAAAATTTTTAAACATTATCCAACGAGTTCATTAATTGACCGCTATTTAACATTTAATCGATAGTTCATCAACTGATACCAATACAAATATTTAACATTTAATCGATAAGTTGATCGATAAGATAAAATTTGAAAACATGAGTTTGGGCCACACCTCTTCACATGGTTCACAAAAGGTTTGGAGTTAGTTGGGGACCATGTGGCGATTACTGAGCATTAAACGTAGCGACACACTTGGATAGCTACCCCATCCCCACATATTTTTATTATTAATGGCTTTATTCAATATTATATTTTAGTACAATACAGAATTCTCAGAGCACCACATCACTCAAGGGCACGACTATTTTTTCTAAGATCGATCTGGTACGAGCATATCATCAGATCCCAGTCGCTCTTGGAGACATCGAGAAAACCGCTATCACGACTCCTTTCGGTCTGTTTGGGTACCTACCAATGCCATTTGGATTACGGAATGCTGCTTAAACTTTCCAACGCTTTATCGATAGCAAAGTACGAGACTTAGATTTTGTTTACGTCTATATTGATGACCTGCTAATTGCATCATCAAACGTAAATGAACGTTATCAATATCTAACATTCCCGTCCCGAGGCGTTTCTTGCAATGGAATAATAGTCAACCATGACAAGTGTGAACTTGGCAAATCGGAAACAAAATTCTTAGGTGACATTATTAAGCAAGAGGGTATTTTACCTTGTGAGGACAAAGTATATGCAACAATGGAGTACACTGTTCCGTCAACACCCAAAGAAGTGAAGGCATTTCACGGTTTGGTCAACTTACAGCGACGTCTCATCCCACACGCAGCAGAACGGTTACGACCATTAACCGATGCCTCGTGTACTGCGTTTTCAGAGATCAAAACAGCTCTGGTTCAAGCCACACTCCTCGTTCATCCAGACCCACTAGACACTCGGTTGATGCACCAGATTTTGCTATAGGGCCGTTGTGCAACAGAACATCTCCAGGAGTTGGCAACCACTCGAAATTTCCTCACGACGCCTCATTCCCACGGAGATGATATAGTGCTTTTAGTCGATAAGTGCCCGCAGCCTATTATGCCACTAAACATTTCCGGCACGCAGTAGGTCGCGATTTCATCGTGTTCACCGACCATAGGCCTTTTAACGTATGCTCTGCATACAAAGTCTTACTGCTACTCACCACGAGAATGCAGATATTTGGACTACATCTGCCCCCAAATGCCTTGGCCTGGCCGAGAATTGGGAGAGTACGCTTACCCACTCGAAATGCTCTCAAATGGTCACGCGTAAATAGCCTCTGCCAAAGAAGTCCTACTCATTACCTTCTTGTGGTATTACTGTTGTTTAGGAAATTGAGAGGACGAAAAGCGAATGTTCGGCGCTTTACCCGGGTTGGTGGACACGGAGAGTCCACCTAGGGGAGTTGGGAGACTCTCATTCTAAACAATTGGTGCACATAGGCTCCAGTATCCTGAAGGAAGAAATGGCGTATGAACCAATCGTTGGTCACCGGCTACCATGGGACTACATGTCCTTACGTTGCTCAGCTGCCTTGTGGACAGAACTTCGTCACGTTAAAAGCGAGTCGAACTATGTTGCTGATGCTGTCACGTAACCAAGCGAATGCAGTTCATTCACCGGTGCTTGATCTCTCTGCCATGTCTGTCGCCAAGCAAGCGATCCCTCCTGCATGGAAGCACAACATTCTACATCGCTTCACTGCCCAGAAGTACCCTTAGTTATTAACTCAAACACTATCCTGTGTGATACTTCTACTGGTCTTTCCCCACCCACCGTACCCTCTGCTTACCGTTTTCTTGCCTGCAATGCTCTGCATGGACTGTCGCATCCAGGTATCGCAGCTACATTACGCCTCATCGCTGCACAATACATCTGGCCGTCCATGAATAAAGATGTACGTATATCGGTAAAGCAATGCTTACGATGTCAACCATCAAAAGTGCGCAGGCACGTAGCTGCATTCGCTACGCCTGATGCTCGCTTCGATCACGTCCATACAGACATTGTGGGACTACTGTCACCATCGCACGGGTATGATCACATACTCACGTGCATCAATCGTTTCAAAAGATGGCCCGAAGCTATCGCTATCACGTCCATTACAGCGGAGACAGTTGCGTACCGCTTCATAGAACGAGTCCGAATTATTCTCCTCGCTGACCCGGCTGCTCGGTATGGAACGCATACGTACTACCGCAACCACCCAGCATCAAGTGGTCTAGTTGAACGGTTTCATCGCCAACTTAAAAGTTCTTCGAGCACACGAAAACATCAATTGATACGGAACCTTACCACTCGCCGTCTTAGGTATTAGAACGAGCTTAAGGCTAGATATTCAATGTTCCGCCGCTGAACTTGTATACGGCACAACCTTTCGTCTGTCTGGGGAATTTTTCACACCACGGAGCAGTAACGATTCCGGTAAATCAGACTACACCCAACGACTGTCTAAATTTATGCGAACACTACCTCCGGTGTCAACTCGAATACAACATCGACAGGTCGCCCTCCCTCGAGAGTTATCTACCTGTTCACATGTTTTCATACGAGTACAATCGGTACGCAAACCTTTGCAACAGCCTAACGAAGGACCTTTTCACGTGATTTTTCGTCACGAAAATACCCACAAGGTTGATCGACATGGCCGCATCGAGGTCGTCAGCATTGACCGTCTCAAGCTCGCACACGTCGATGACAGTACCCCACCTGACAAGTTGAGACCCAATGCTAGACCCATCAAACCTACTAGCGGACTTCGCACATCTACCTCACGCTAGATACATCAGAAACCTCACTCCCACGTCCCAGTCAACAGCACGTGTCACCTGCAGCATCTACTCCTGATACTGTCCTACATAAAAGATCTTCGGAGACAACCCGAGGATCGGCGATCGCTCCCTGTTTGTCAAGCACTTCATCCTACAATCTCACGCTTGCCGATCAGTCCCACAAACGGAGTCACTACGTATCGAAAATGTAAGCCCTTTCTAGCGGGAGGCTCCTGTAGTGACCTACTTTAATGAAGAGAACGTGGAAACAATTACTATTATAATCAGTTGTTCCAGTGATTGTTTTACTGTACTTGTCTGTTTGTGTACCAGAAAAGACTAGTAGTCATCGAGTCGCTATCGACTATGATCCTCACTACAGGAAGACTACGTGCCAGTTACCAGGTTTGACACCTCCGCATGCCAAATATCAGAAGGCAGTTGAAGGTTGTAGTATGATGTATTTGTTGGCAATCTCGTGACATCGAAACAATACCGAGATCGTGCCAAAATCCACAGGTGAGACTGCTGAGCGTACGAGAGTTCGTGTAAGGTCACAAACAACGGAATTGTCTTTTCTGGTACATTTAAACAAGCAAGTACAGTAAAACAATCACTGGGACAATTGGTTATAATAATAATTGCTTCCATTATACCAATCGCATTCTCTTCACAAAAGTGGGTCACTACAAGTTATTGACAGTTTTAAGAAAACTCCAAATTACCCTCCCCAAACAATATAAACGAAAATTTTAACATGAGCAACTATGCTGACCAAAATATCCAGTTATAACTAAGTAACTTTCTCACAGAATTACAGTGCATCTATCGAGTAATCAAATCTTCCATGTAAAAGAATATTTTGTTGCCTCACATTGTCTAAATTCATATCCTTAAGCAAAACACTACCGATTAATAGCGAGGAATAATAAATGCCTAGCGAATGATTGTGAGCATGCCCAAACTTCCTATGTCACTTACATCATATACGTTAAAAATACGTTGTTAATAGATCCAATCAAACGAATTTTATAACTTCTGCCTTCGTGCCTTTTACATAGAATCGATTTTGTATCACCTGATAAAACAAAGTGTTTTCTGATTGGTAAATAACATCCTGTTTACTAGGAATTACAAACACTTAGTTGTTCTTTGTGTGCACCATTTCGACCACGAACATTACCATATTTACATAGCTTCTAAATTTCAAAACGAGATTCTAACCCACGAGCATGGGTATAGTGCAGTTTAACAGACTAAAAATGTCCACATTAATAGTCACATAAAATTGGAAGTCAGGTGTGAAATACAAGTACCCAAAAACCATTCTCACACTTGGCATATTTTGTTCCGGTACTCATTACCGCGAACTGGGTAAACGAATGTGTACGATGCTAAACAGGATATTTCGACATATGTCTCTGGTATTGTTGTCCGATCTTACGGAATCAGAAAATATGCCACGATACGTAAAAAAGATATTAGCCTTCGGCAGTGAGACCAATGTAAATTCTAGAAGTCTGAGATTAATACTATCAAAATAAATAAAATATGATTGAACGATCCTTTCTCCAAAAAGCACAGTCACCAATTACAACAACACCAAGTACAAACAAACTATGAGACATTCAGCGAACAAATCGTAAAGAATACAAACTGATTATTTGTTAAACACAAAAAGTATCCCATCAAGCAAGGAACAATGTTCTATCTAAAGGAAAGGGATAGAGAAACTCAGTTTACCCAAAAGTTAACATTCAAACTATAAGATAAAATTAAATAAGAATTTAAGAATCGTACAACTAATTGCTTGCTAACAATGATAAGCATTCCCAACAAGCAGGGAGTATATTGCTTTCCCAGTGCGATAAAACGAAAGCAACCGATTAACACAAGAATTATCAGTAAGACAGTCGCTAAAACGGAATGCTAACAAAAAATTGGAACAGTTACTGAAAAGCCAACAACATCAGTGAATTAACCAATTCTAGAATCTGCAAACAATGTGGTAAAATGACTGCCAGATACACTTGCTAATGGTTAGTATTTCAACAAACCTATAACAATGGAGCATTTGGATGTTAACAAAGCTTGTTATTAAAACATAAGAGCTAATTATAATCATATTTGGTTAGTCGTATGTATCGATTGAGCTAGTAATCCTAATCTGAATACTAATCGACACCGTAATAAGATAGTTCATGTTAGCAACAGTCAATGAGCCAATCAAATCATGGATTAAAATGAATAAAATTTATCAGGAGAAATTATAGAAAATGTGACCATTAATAACTGGTTGGGTGATTCCTAGTTGGTCTCACCAATGTAGAATTTCACTCTAAAATCGATGTTAAATCAAAAGTGATGTAGTTTGAATTCTGCGAAAACCGCAGCGAAACGTAAGATACTTGTTCTTTCAAAGTTTGGGAAAATTGTTCTCGAATACCGATCATTTGAACACAAATCACTACATCGTAATTTCTATCGGAGATATTATTTCAGGCATCTGAAATTATACATATCTGTCTGCTTTTAGAGCATTCCAACACAAATACTACAAAAGTTCGAAGTTAACTGTTACTCTTGGCGCTTACCAACTTAACGAATAACAAACACTGGATGTTGAGAAACGGATAGTTACCAATCACAATGTTTGCTTGACATTGTTTACGAGTATGGGTGTAGAAATCAAAGTCGTTTTTGTTGAAAAAAAGACAGAATTCAACTATAGCGACCAAAGTATAAACGTTTTTCCAACCGATTATGAATCTCTAGTTGGGAAACAGTAATATTGAGTAATTTTATACTAATCTCCAATAGAAGGACTAAAATACTATTCACAATTATACAAGGGTATATAAATACTATAACTACGACTGTAGTTACTGCCGGTCCCAAGCCGGGATAGACGAAGGTTCAGCAGCTCAACCCCGTAGAAAACAGCCTTCATAAAGAGCGCTAACCAGAAAGAAACAATTATTCTGGTCAGCGGACTATGCTCCTCCGCGAGGGTAACAGGTGTAAGTATGTTCACTACAAGTCAACATATATAAGCCATGATATTCAGTGAAGAGAAACAATCCAATCTATTCTACGCACGATAGTAAAAAAATGAAAAATTTACAGCTAATTTATATCTGCTACCAAGTAATGTAAATGGATGACCGGGAAAGATAGTCTAAAAGTTAGTAGTTTAGTTGTTATCACTTTTTCAGTATCTTAAATATTTACGCTAGTCATTTGTTTCGACAATGGTGTATGAGACAAGAACCAACTTGACAAATGTTTTCTATAGTCAGAAAAACGACAATGAAATTGGAAACATTTTAACCAATAGTCTGTAAAAGAGTATGATAGGAAGAAGAACCTTGAACTTATAGCCCTACGATTAAAAGTCAAACGCCCAAATGATAATTTAATATATGTAGCTATAATGTTAGAAAAAACAGCAATATAGTAATTAAAAGGAATAAGGCATTACAATAAACAGAAGTAGAAAATAATATCGATAGCAATGGTAAGATTGGCATCCAAATGCTGTATATCGTAATTATAGCGTTGGTAGAGTGAAAAAAAGTTTGACAGTTTAATCTACATCGTTCATTATATACAAAACTGTCTACAAAAAATGAAAAATGAATCTAAGTATCATAAGAAATAGTAAACTTCTATGTATATGTCGAAGAATTCGGTTTAACAGGTGTTTCACTAGAAAATATCGACATACTTTTTGGATCGATCCAAGAAAACCCTTGACTTACAAATTTTTCCTCATCGTCATTGGAATCTTTGAATCTCTATTTTCAGTTTAAAGAAAATAAAGTGATGGCATTTAAGAAACATAAACAACTTATAAAATAAAAATACAATGTTTACAAAAAACCATAGTAACAAGAAATTATTTTTATGTTATATGACAAGAAGTAGTCTTCAGGAAGCCATGAACTAAAGGAAGACCATCTTGGGTGTAATCAAGTACGCTTGAGCCTCCCCATAGCAGTGTATCCTCCTATGGCTGATGAAATGCCAAGAAACGAAGCCTTTAATCATCACAATTATCTAGTGAACGTGAATTCGAATACAACCCCAATTCATCAAGAAGAGGATGATGTGCTGTTGATTAACTGGGGAGAGTTTAATGACGGAGATAATAACATGGACGAAGATGTGGACCCTAACAGACTTTTTAACATGCTCGTCCACCAAGCGAAAATGCAACGGCAGTGACTTGCACCGTTTATCAGTGTAATGCAATCTTTCAACCACTGTAATTAGAAACCACGTCCTCAGTCTCCTGGTTTCAATAGTATGACATATAGTGTAATTACATAAAATTAATGGGACAAATTATTTTGGGAATGTTTTATATGTATTTCATTTTTCGACCGACAATTTAACTTCTACTCATATTAACCCTATTACGAGGTGAATATGGAAAACAAATCACCGTAAAGTATAGAGTCATTGAAAGATGTTATATCCATAGGACGAGACAGCCGTCTAGTGCTTCCAGGTCTTCAATGGTAGTCTCACATCAATCAGTTTATGACCTGAATCAAAAATTTTCTTTAATTCTTATTAATTTATGGAAGTGTAAACTGTTCAATCATTCATTAATATTAGACTCATTACACGTCTAGCATTAATTGAAGGTACTATGTACATTGAGTTATCACGGTTATTTATTTGCATTTATAAACACCTATTACAATGTTTACCCACCTACATCCAATACTGAAATGATGCATTAGAATAATTCATCAAACTAGCTGGACGGAGAATAACCATTTTCATGTGGACTTTTATGTTTCCTTCTTTTTCAGGTTCAATAATCACTAGTGTAATTAGAAATCTATGTTGATTGACAAGAAACTTACCATTATTGCCACTTTTAGTTTCTTTAGGATGAAATGACTGGATTTTTTTTAATTTATAAAGAAATTATATGCACATAATTTTTACTAATTTTTTCTTGTTAGAATAATTAATCAAATCAATTTAAAAAACTAAGTTCAGTTCTGATAAATTTAGTCTTTTTATTGAATTATCTAAACCAAACGCCAAATTTAAGTTACACATCAATCGTGGTTTGCACATATGATTTCAGCAATTTAGTCCCAAACTTCCTTCCATCGAAATATAATGATGATGATAATAACGACAATGGTAAAAATCCACTTTAACATTACTTGGTACCGGATATAAAGCGATTTGCCTGATGAATGTACAGTCACATTAATTCCTTTTCAATGAAATTCAAACCCAGCACTTACTGGTTAAAACTTCAGCCTGTTAATTACTGTGATACATATAAACCCAACTGAATACAATTAAACACTGTTTAGCATTCCTATACTATTCAATATAATAGGGACAGTTGAAGCATTAACAAAAGAAATCCATGTATCTTTCATGTTATCCTCTCTGAGCTACATAGTTTGATTGGGAAGTTTTATTATCGTTTTAGATAATATTAAAGTTCGTATGCCAATAATCACTAGACCATTCTGATATGATGGTCTGTAATTAAGCCCAACAGTCAGGTCTTAAATTATTGGACAGTGAGTGACCTAAAAACTGATTTCCTCCGATAGCTTACGACATTTCATGTTTTTGTGTTAATATTTTGTATGTTATTTTAGAGCGTAAAAAACTACTCTTCTAGCCAGTAGTCTTGTTTATGTTTTCGAATTGACAGCTTCCAACATTTAAGGGCGGAAATATCTAGGAATATTGGTGTAGACTTTAAAAGTAACCTTGGAATCAGTAAATGAATTAGATGAAAAAAATAGTAGCAATGGATATTGTACTTCGCAAACGACCACAGGCGGTCAAATAAGGAAACTTATTGTGAACACATACAGAGAACTAGTTTGCGATATGTAAACATTAGTGTAACATTACAATAAACATTCCCCTAATCCATTCGAATAAACGGTTCTTAAGTATCGGTGTTTTGTGACTGTTGAAGTTATTTGAACGTACCGTCTTAAGATAAGATTTATAGTCCATTCATTAAGTCCACCTTATATATTTATGTTCGTCAGCCCAATAAACGGGATTACCTAATCACAACTTGTGGATGCTTACTCATAATGGCCAGAAATTTTGTGGATAGTGCTACCATTCACCAAAAGAATGTTCTAGCTATTGATGAAGACTTTTGGTAGATATTGGGCTGCTGGACACCAATATGCTATTCAATGGGTAGAAATTCATATGGTTACACTACTAAGGCTTCTGTCGATGGCCTGCAATCAACCGAAAGTGTTCATCACCTTATCACTCACAGCTCACTGACTAGACAAAAGTTTCCTAGATAACTGCAACTTATGCAACAATTCTCTCGAACTATCTAGGCAGTTGCTTCACATAATGGAAAACTTCAACACATAAACGGTAAATGTACGGAATACAGTATTCTTTTCTTCAAGTGTTCCTTCTAGAAGCTGAAACATCTCACGATAACCTACATGTAATTATAAAAGTGTAATAAAAAAAATATTGACTTTTGCTTCATCCTCACGATGCTGAACTAACGGTTCACCCTAGCCTTGTATCCGATGCATTCATTATCAACTCATCCTTCAAAGTTCCTTGTAAAATTCTAGTAGTTCGTGAGATTTACATCAAACCTTATAATTTACATTATTGATGCGTCAAAGATTTCCGATAATATACTAGCCAAGTCAATGCCAGGATGAACACCGGCTCCGTATGAAACTGACCTGAACTTATAAGCTGAAAAAAATACTACATTTTTCGTAGCACTGACAATGAAGATTTTCCGAATAAATATCTTGACAATTACCTGCAGTAAATCTCGTGCATCACTCAGTATACTGTCATTCATCCATCCAGAAAGACTAATAAAAAATAAAACAATGAAAATTCATGGTTAGTAAACACAAAATCTCATTAGTGAACGAGAACTCAGGTGGGGGAAACCAATTTATTGTTTAATGCAAAATTACTGAATGCCTTCGTACATATGAAAACCATACATTAAATACATTATTTGCAAATCTTCCTTCATTTATCTTTTACATCTTTCACGGTTCTTTTAATCCTGTCGTTATTACAACTGCCCTTTGTTTCCCTTTCTGTTCTCTTCAATTCAATCTGGTGCTACCAGGCATTCCACTTCCGATTGGTGCTACATACTACTTATATCTGTCAGCATAAGTAGTATGCACCACAATAAGACCAGTAACAAAAGTTAATTCTCAAGAGATTTCTTTTATATAATACAATACACTTTTATGTAACTCGTCGCCCTTCCATTCCCTGAGTACACTGTTAAAACCTTAATATATTTACAATTTTTATTTAATCAAATTAGTTTGATGAGCCGTGAACTCCATAGAATAACTTTTTATGAACCTGTTATCAAGCATACAATTATATTATTTAGTAGTAAATCACAAGTTGAGTAGTTTAATTCATTCAACTGATTATTTATAGATTTTTAAATGACACTATTTTACTTAAAAAGGAAAATTAGGACTTCATGTAGATATAATCTGAAGTGAGTTATACTAATCTCATGAATCCCAAGATTTGACTAAATAATCCATTAATACCGTTGGATACCAACCCATTAATCTAGAGTTCAGGTGTTTGAATGCGAGATTAAAGATCTTGAGTTCGATTCCCGAGCACGAAGTCGTGGATGAGTATGGCCAAAGTCTTATACTAGGATGAAACAGGCGTACAGTGCTTTTTAATAGTGATCTAACGTTGATCGCTTTATGATTTCAATGCACAAGAAATAAAAATTTTAAAACAAGCTGTCCAGTATGTGTCGAAGTCACCCAAAAATTGTCTAGAATACTATTATTTTAACAGCTGAATTTAGGGGTTAATCTAAACCAGACCACCAATGGAAACGTGGAGACACTGGACAGCCTTTTCGCCCTACTATGGGACTCCCCAGTAGTGCGCATCCACGACCTTATACACGAAAATTGGACCCAGGGACCTTCATTCCCGCGCGCGGACGCACAGCCTGTAAACCACTGAGCCGGCATCCAACGGTGTTAGTCCAACTTAGCTTCGATTGACCTATGAGTTCAACTGTTAAAGTACTACAATCTACACAAAACCCCATACTGATAATATTATTATTTATTTTTCAAGCTATCGCTTTTTCACACTGAACTATAAACCCTATTGGATTTTCCACTTTTCACCAAATTGCTTGCAATCGGCATCAAGCAGTAGTTCTTTGGGCACCGCGGTCACGCTCTCAGGTCACTAAGACCACCTCCAACCCAATTTCCTTTTCACGTACCTCTGGAAGAACCCTTCCACGGTGTGGGCAACTGCGAAATGACAACCGCCTTAATACCTCTAACAGTACTCAAGATCACTGTATTCGTGATCGATCTCTCTCTTTAATTCCTATTATTCCCCCTACCTCGACTTTTAACTCCAAACTTCCCCTTTTGACTTCCTCCTCAAGTGTCACCATGGCCAATGATTCTAGTGCGCAAAACACTGTCCCAAGTCTACTGAAACCTCGCTCCAAAATTATTTATTGGAACACATAAATATTGGTACAAGGGGTCACCAAATATATATGCGCCACACAAAACAACGAGAATCGGAAGAGAAAAAAAAGGAAGGTAAGGAGCGTAAAAAAAGAACGAAAACGATAAGGTTAGTATACGGTAGTGTAATAATAACTCCGCCTATAGCTCTTCTAGAGTTACTCCCGGTCCCAAGCCCGGGTAAAGGAGGAGGGTTGGGCACTGGGTTAGCGACCCCATCCCGTAGAAAACTAACTCGCTAAAAAACGCTAACCAGAAAAAACTATTCAAACTATTTGAACTCTGCCCTGGGAGTTAGGTCTTCATTTAGAAGAACTATGAAGCCCCATGGTGAAAGCCGAGTTCCTTCGGAAGCCACGAGGCCGATGCCCATTCTAACAACCAGATCAACAATTTTTATAGGTACATGGAACGTCCGAACAATGTGGGAGACCGGGAAGACCAGTCAAATAGCAACGGAAATGAGGAGATACAACTTGACAGTACTGGGAATCAGCGAAACCCACTGGACCCAAGCTGGACAACAAAGGCTAAATACGGGAGAGATGCTGCTATACTCCGGCCACAAAGAGGAAAATGCTCTACACACTCCGGGAGTTGCTCTAATGCTGTCCAAAGTAACACGAAATGCACTTGTAGGATGGGAATCTCATGGATCCAGAATCATCAAAGCATCATTCAAAACAAAGAAGGAGGGGATTTCAATGAATATTATCCAATGTTATGCACCCACCAATGATAGCAACGACGACATTAAAGATTAATTCTACGGGCGGCTGCAATCAATAATAGAGGAGTGTCCAAGAAACGACCTCACCATTCTGACGGGAGATACAAACGCCAAAGCCGGAATAAACAACACCGGATATGTAGATGTCATGTGACGACATGGACTGGGACAGAGAAACGAAAATGGGGAAAGATTTGCAAATCTGTGTGCATTCAACAAATTGATCATAGGAGGCACAATATTTCCACACAAACGTATACAAAAAGCTACATGGATCTCACCGGACCACACTACAGAGAACATAGATCATATTTGCACCGAAAAAAATTCCGAAGGACAATGGAAGATGTGAGAACCAGGAGAGGTGCTGACGTAGCTTCAGATCACTACCTAGTTGTGGCCAATTTAAAACTGAAGCTAAAGAAGAACTGGACAACTGGACAAACAACACTACAAAGGTTCAATACAGCCTTCCTTCAAGATACTGATAAACTCAATAAATTCAAGATAACTCTCAACAATAGGTTCTAAGCCTTACAAGATCTACTAAATGAAGAAGAAACTACTATGGGGGACAACTGGAAAGGCATCAAGGAAGCATTAACTTCAACGTGTCAAGAGGTTCTAGGCCTAAAGAAGCATCATCAGAAGGAATATATCTCTACAGAAACACTGTACAGGATCAAAGAAAGGAAGAACAAGAAGGCAGCAATTAACAACAGCATAACACGAGCAGAGAAAGTCCAAGCACAAGCTGAATACACAGAAGCAAATAAGCAAGTGAAGAAGAGAATTAGAGCCGACAAGAAGAAATACGTGGAAGGACTAACAATGACAACAGAAAAAGCTGAAAGAGAAGGAAATATGAAACAGCTTTACGATACAACGAAGAAACTAGCGGGGAAATATAGTAAACCAGAGAGACCGGTCAAAGACAAAGAAGGCAGGCCAATCACTGAAATTCAACAACAGCGGGACAGATGGGTAGTGTACTTCGAGGAACTCCTGAATAGGCCGGCTCCAATGAATACACCGGACATCGAAGCAGCACACACAGATTTTCCTATAGATGTTAATCCACCAACGACGGAAGAAATCAGAATGGCCATCAGACAAATCAAGAGCGGGAAAGCAGCAGGACCCGATAATATATCAACTGAAGCACTGAAATCAGACATCGAAGTAACCACAAATACAATTCACCTTCTATTCAAAAAGATTTGTGAGGAGGAACAAGTGCCGATGAACTGGAAAGAAAGACACCTCATCAAGATTCCAAAGAAAGGAGATCTGAGCAAATGTGAAAACTACAGAAGCATTACACTACTGTCAATACCAGGGAAGGTTTTCAACAGAGTGTTGCTGAACCGGATGAAGGATGCGGTAGACGCCCGAATTCGAGATCAACTTCATTGATTATGAAAAGGCATTTGACAGTGTAGATAGGAGGATGTTATGGAAACTTCTTCGACACTACGGAATTCTTGAGAAGATTGTCAACATTATCCGGAACTCACATGACGGACTACAGTGCGAGGTCGTGCATGGAGGACAGCTGACAGACGCATTCCAAGTAAGTACCGGAGTCAGACAAGACTGTCTACTCTCTCCCCTCCTCTTTCTTCTGGTGGTCGACTGGATTATGAAGACCTCGACATCTGAGGGAAAACAAAAAAAAAAAAAAACAGCTCAGAACCAATAAGACGGTTTGGACTTCACAGATGACCAAGCGCTCCCATCGCATACACACGAACAAATGCAGATAAAGACAGCCAGTGTAGCAGCAGTCTCTACATCAGTAGGCCTCAACATACACAAAGGGAAAACCAAGGGCCTCAAATTCAAGACGGAGAACACCAATCTAATCACTCTTGATGGCGAAACTCTGGAATATGTAGAATCCTTCACATACCTGGGAAGCATCATCGATGAATACGGAGGTTCAGATGCAGACATAAAGGCGAGCATTGGCAAAGCAGGGGCCGCATTCCTACAATTGAAGAACACATGGAACTCAAAACAACTTTCAACCAATATCAAAGTGAGAATCTTCAATACGAACGTCAAGACAGTTCTACTGTACGCGGCTGAAACATAGAGAACTACAACAACCACCATCAAGAAGGTACAAGTATTTATAAATAGCTGTCTACGCAAGATACCCAACATTCATTGGTCGGATACCATCAGCAACAGCCTTCTCTGGGAGAGAACAAACCAGCTTCCAGCTGAAGAAGAAATTAGGAAAAGACTATGGAAATGGATAGGACATACATTACGCAAATCATCAAACTACTTCATGAGGCAAGCCCTAACTTGGAATCCTGAAGGGAAGCGGAAAAGAGGAAGGCCAAAGAACACATTACGTCGGGGAATAGAAGCAAAAAAAAAAAAGATGTATAACAACTGGAAAGAGCTGGAAAGGATTGCTTCGGACAGGATTGGATGGAGAATGCTGGTGAGCGGCCTATGCTCCTTCACGAGGAGTAACAGGCGTAAGTGTAATAATAATAATAATAATAATAATAATAATAATAATAATAATAATAATAATAATAATTGGGGAAAGGGAAAGGTACAATCAGAAGAAATCTTTCAGTTAAGGAGACACAACCACTTTTTATGAAGAAAGTAAAAGAAGGTTACAGCAGGATCGCCACTGGCTTCTATTCTGAGCCATATCTGATAACGTCTCTAGCCACTGTGTAGCACCATCTCTCGGACCCCAACCAGGGAGTCGTGAAGGACCAACACAAGCCAGTCCTTTGCAGCTTTCTTTCATGCCACGACACCATGTCATGCACTGACCACCTCTCCGCTTCTTCCAACCAGTCCCAGAGTCGGCAAATAATGCACGACGTGGAATTCTCTGGGACGACATTCGGAGAACATGTCCAAGCCACCGAAGTCGGTGTTTCAAGATGGTGACACCAATTGATTATCATCTCTGTGCCCGAACACACGATGCCGAACCTCTGCATTACTGACATGGTGTTGCCACTGGATGTCAGCAATCCTTCGGAGACAGCGATGATCGAACACAGAGAGTCGTCTAACGTCCTCAACTCGGAGAGGCCAGGTTTCACAAGCATAGAGCAAAACTGCTCTCACCGACGCGTTGTAGATCCGACCTTTTACAGCCAGACTAACATCACGAAGGCGCCAAAGGTGGCCCAGATTGGCATAAGCCGCTCTGGCTTTCACTATTCGTGCATTGATCTCATCACTCACACCCCCACCAGCACTTATGCAGCTACCCAGATACACGAACTTCTCGACTACGTCTATCTGCTCACCATCCAGGGTGAGTACAGGATTAGAATCCTGCCAGTCTTGTAGAAGTACTTTGCACTTCGAAGGTGCAAAGCACATACCATACCTACGGACACTGATTGCCAACTGATTAAGTGCGGATTGCATGCCTTGGGCATTATCGCACAGTAAGACAATATCGTCCGCATACTCAAGGTCGAGAAGTCTTTCTCCAGGCAACAGATCCACACCACCATTACTTACATTCATCAGAGCTGTTTCCAGAATGTCATCGATGGCAAAGTTGAAGAGGAATGGTGAGATTGGGCAACCCTGCCTAACCCCACTGCTCGAATGGAACAATGGAGAGAGGTGGTTGTATGCCCTCACTCTGCCTGAGGTGTTTTATATAGGGCTTTTAGGATGTTAATAAACTTCTCAGGCACACCCTTCTTCAATAGACAATCCCAGAGAACAGTCCTGTCCAACGAATCGAAGGCAGCCCTGATGTCAAGAAACACTACGATTGTTGGCCTTTGAAAGTATGGCGGTGTTCTAACATTTGGCGGAGGGTGAAGATATGATCAATACATCCTCGACCAGAACGAAACCCAGCCTGCTCCTCGCGAGTCAATCTTTCTCGGGTTTTGAACAACCTACGAAGTATGACGGAAGCCAATAGCTTGGACGCAATCGGAAGTAGACTTATCCCCCGATAGTTGTTACAGGAACGACGTGAACCCTTTTTAAAGATAGGGACAACTATCGACTCATTCCATGACGTTGGTACACTCTCTAGTTCCCAAACCTTTGTAAACAACGTCGTCAATTCCTTAGTCAAAAAGTCACCACCATCTTTAAAAAGAGCCGGAGGTAAGTCATCTGGGCCAGGTGATTTGTAACGCTTCAAGAGTTGGAGTTCCTTGCGGACTTCCTCCTCGTTTGGTGGATCAGTCGTCACCGGCCATGGAGGGCAGGACAGTCTGACCGATGTTGCCGGAGCAGCAGGCCAGTTGAACTGCCCTTCGAAAAATTCTGCCCATCGTCCAAGACGTCGATGGATGTTAGTGATTGGCATCCCATCATCCTCGCAGATTGTTTCACTCACACCAGACTTCTTGCTGCCAGTGGCTCGGATGAGTGGAAGAGCTTCCGGTAGTTACCAGATGCAGCTGCTGCTTCCAGCTCATTAGCACGCATCGACCACCAGGCTTCTCGGTCCTTACGCAAGCTTTGCCCAATTTCCTTACGTAACATCCTTCGTTTATGGTCAAACTCACGGTCACCCGGAGTAGACCGACGGGCTTCAATGAGTTGTAAGGAACCAGAAGAAACCCAGTGCTTAAAAGCGGGACGTTTCGCAAACCCACAACTGACTGTTCCCGCCATTTTCATGGCGTCATGCAATTGCAACCAATGCTCATCTATACTTTTCGGTGGAGTGGTAGCTAGCCTAGAGGCTAGCTCGGTTCGATACTTACTTGCAACAGAAGTTGCAACCAGCTTGCTAACATCAATCCGTTGATGGCGTCACTTCGTTGTCCACTGAAAAGTAAGGCAAGATTGGCGCAGACCAAGGCATGGTCAGAGTCCAGATAGGTACTCCAAAAGGAGCGGCAGTCTTGTACACAACCACGCCAGCGGTAGCTGATCGCGATGTGATCAATCTGAGTCCAGGCTTGAGATGCAGAGGGAGGACGCCAGGTGGCACATCGGCGATGACTGTGCCGAAAGTTAGTGCTAGCCAGAAACAGGTTGTGGTCTGTGCAAAGTTGCAGTAGACGGTCCCCGTTATCTGACCTGCGACCAACGAGTCCCCATCGGCCACCTAAACGACTCTCTTCTGTGCCTAGACGCCCGACCTGAGCATTCAAGTCTCCGGCTAGTACTACAATATCTGTCGAACGCACTTTCTGGAGAAGAACAGATAACTGGTGGTAAAACTCATCCTTGATTGCATCCGGGCTGCAATCTGTCGGGGCATAGGCGGAGATGACGAAAAGACATCGTTTCTCACGCCGATTTCTTCTCACTTTGATGGAACTTTCTAATCTAACAGCACATAACCGACTGTTAATGGGGATCCAATCGACTAGTGCTGCCTCAGCTCTAGCGCTTAGTGCGACACCAACGCCAGCAAGACCAGACGAAGATGCCACAGGGTCCCCGGATAAGCGCACGTAAAACAAGCTTTTTGAAGCGACAGATGGAGATCGAATTTGTAGTACTTCGCCAGAGTCTTGAATACGGGTCTCGGATAGACAACAAACATCAATATTAAGACTTTCCAAAGACATAGCCAGCCCTATCTGTTGTCCGACCTGCATAAATGTGCGAACGTTGAAGGCAGCCAGTTTGAATGGTGCACGTGGTTTCAGAAAAACTGCTTCAGTATTCGTATTCGGTGGTAACATACAATTTTCAACCGGACAGTGACTCGAGAACGTTTAGATACAGTCGAATTTCCACCATAGACGAGCTGCTGTATAAGTCGAAAAAATAAGTATAAACAGAGTGGGAATAAAGGAGGGTGAATAATGACTTAGTAAATAATAATAATAATAATAATAATAATAATAATAATAATAATAATAATAATAGAATCATTTGAATGTTCGTCGAAGCAAGAGAATTAGTTTCCATGATCATAGACAGTTCAGTTCATTAATTGTGTGTGGGCTGTGATACCGCCCGGGTGCCCAAACCGAAGCAGGTGGTTATCTTAGGGGGCCACACCTCGAGCCTTTGACCTAATGGTCTAATCCACAAGGCAGTGGAGCATCGTGAGGAGATGCAATCCCACGGTAGCCGGTGACCAATAATTGGTTGATACGCTATTTGTTACCTTACGATCCTGAAGCCCATGTGGAGTCGGTTTTTCAACTCACTCGTAATCTTTTACAAAGGAGGTCAAATCAAGACGTCTTTAGGGAGAGCGAACCCACCCCGCTCTCGGCCATACCAGGGCATTTGGGGGCAGGGTATTAGGGAATGATGGTAAGTCAGTTGATGAGATTGTGAGTCTTCATCGACTGAGATGGTTAGGCCACGTGTTGCGTGTGTCTGAACACCGATTACCACGACGCGCAATGCTGACGAGTGTTGGAAACGGTTAGAAGAAAGTTTGGGGCAGCCAAACCAAAACGCTGCATGAGAGCTTGAAGTCACTAACTTCTAGTCTGAGCCATGTTGACAGATGCAGACTACTTGGTTGCGGTTCACGTGACTATCGCAGCCAAAAGTTAGAGACTATGGGTGACATGTCTCAGGATCGATCACATTGGCATCGGTGTATACATACACTCTTTGTCCTCCCTTAAATCATGAGATTAAAATTGCTTTATATCTTTCTTTCTACGAAAGAATTCTTCCTTCATGTACTATATCCTTGTACACAATCTTTCTTTCATATATTACTACCATTGAAGTAACTACTTCTATGAATTCGGTGTTAATCTTGTTGTGCTAATGAGGTGTGACAGCTTGGACTGATGCATATATGTGCCTGGTCCTACGTTGTAACTGACTGGCTGACTGTCAACTATATCTAATCATGCTACTTTAGTGTTATGAAGTGATTATAGAACTTTGCAGTTCGAATTCTAATTTGACTTCTTAACTGCATGCTTATTATGCTAGGTTTATCGTGCTTTATTCAGATATGGGCTTTTTGTATGACTGTTTGAATGTAACAAGAGAAAGCAAATTAGAAAATTTAATAAAGTCATGCTTGTGCCCCCCGTCACTTGCCTGCCTCAAAGTTTTAGCGACGACCAGTTTTTATACACAGAGTGGATGAAGTGAGATTGAAGTATTCGATGATCAAAGTTGTCAAAATACTTCTTGTATACTATGAAACCATACATTAATTGGCGTAGTTAAGGTAAATAGTTTGAAATAAATAAAATAATTTAGTCGACAAAAACTGGAAGAACAACAACATCCCAAAGATAATTGAGATCGAAACTTAGAGATACTATGTGAAAATTCAAAACCAATCCAAGAAAAGTAACTCTAAATGTTCTTAAACTTTCTCTAATTTCAAAATCTCTTACTGTTCCGAGTAAAGTTACAACCAGATACTATTTATGTAACAATAACGACGCAATAATGCTTGTCAGTAAAAGTATATCCAGTCAAAACAATGCACAAAATTATATGAGATCCCGTATAATCACTTACTTTAATGAAGGGATATCCTGTGATGGCTGTGTCCATACAGAGAGTTTGGTGACACATCCTTTAGCTCGAGTATCAAATTCTTCCGGATGGTGAATCAGTGCGTTAGCTGCTTCTGGATTAGCATACTTCACATCTCTCATGTTTTTTATACAAGCAGTTTGTTCTGCAAGTGATGAAACAATAATACTTGTTGGACTAGTCAACAACCGTTTAAAATGATGAAGAATATGCCAAATATGGTGCTTGTCTGGATTCCATATCGGGAATTCCGTGTGCACGCTCACCTCTCCGGTAATCCAGTCTACATGAGGATGATAAAATTCTTTACATAAATAGAGCTTCTAAAATGAAAAGAACGAGATACATAAGAACAAACGTACACTCCCAATCTATAAAAGCATTACAAAAGCTTTTGACCAAGGTATATGTGAAGAACTAACATCTGTACATCACTAGGTATCTTAGTTTAAGAAAAAAATCTTTTTATAGCACTAAAAAAGCATATTTAGATACTCTAAAGATAGTCCTACATTGGCCACAAAGACAACTTGCAGTCCGATATTGCTTTCTGATACAAACTATTTTAAAACATAACCACCAATTTATTAACTTTTCATACAATTATGAACTCCTTTACCAAGTGACAGCTTATAGTTCCGGCCTGAAATCATTGTTTTTTAAAGGCTAGGGATACTATAAAATTGACCGTAATTGACGAAAGGAACCAACTCATTTGACCCAGTTAATGGCCTGAACCAAAGATAGAACTAAGTGGAATTATGGAGCTGATTAGTTTACCCATCCCTACACGAAAGCCACACAATTCAGTGCCCTCGTGGCCTGATTCCCCTAACCTGGTTACAAAGCTATCGTCGTAGGGAACAAATAAGGTCTTATTAATCAGATTTATATTTAGTTGGTGTCAGCTCGACTAATGTATAATGTTCAGTGCAAACTAAAATCTGATATATCAACTGGTTTATATTCAATCATCAAACGCTAGTGAACAAATCAAAAGAATAATACACGTTTTAAATGTAAATTCTACTTTATTTACTGTAAATTGTTGTTCCTGTCTATTTAGGATATATATTGTAACCAGTTCAGTCTTGTCTTGATTTATGTCAACACAAGTGAGATACAATCAGGACAGTAGTGAAAAAAAACATAAAAGTTGGGTGTTAAAAAAAATAACATAAACGGAGTATGATCAGGTTGACGGATATCCCAGTTCTCAGATTAGATTATTTGATAATACACTCTGACCATTGTTAAGGGAAACAATAGAACGTTTGATGACTAGTCTTCTGTGGTGAGAACACATTCAGAACTACCGGATAGGTTGACTTGGGCTCAGTGCTAATACGCTGACCCTATAGCATAAAACACCAAAGCAAGTGAAGTAGGGTTGAGTATTTTAACCACTTAACAATCATTGAATATTTGACCTTATATGAAAACCTTAGTGAAAAGATGTTGGGGAGTTACAATCTAAAATTAAAACTTATGAGAGTCAAATAAATAAAAATTAGGCTGAGATTCTATTGCAGTTTGTTATTCAGTGTGACCGTTATATATAAAATCTCAATATATTTTAAGATATTTTGTTTCAATGACAATCAGTCATTTCAAACATGCTAGCTATTTTTTATTGATGTATCACCGACAAACCGTGTATTTTTATTAATTACACTGGGTCAAGATCAGAAACTTTTATCTGCAAAACTGGTGCTCATAGTCCAGTTAACGAGGTGGCGAAAAAATAGAATAGTTTCGTCCACGATATTGAGGTTGGAGTTGCGAATTATTGGTACAGTTAACGAACGTACCATGATGGGCAGAGTATGAAGGACATATCAAATACCGATTTGCCCCAGCAACATCAATCAGATTGTTTTGCCCTACCTAACCAGCGACGACTGATCATAGAAACACGGCAGAGGACCGCAAAAAGCTCCAACCTTTAAAGCACCATAAGCCGCCAGGTTCTTTTTAAAGGATGGTAGCATACCTCTTTCAAGGTTATTTGGAAGGGCTCGGGGACTAGAGTGTTGCAACACCCAAGAATAAAGTGACCGTTGTCCCCATCTTTAAAAAGGGCTTATATAATCTATCCAATAACTATAGGGGGATAAGTATACTTCCGACCGCATTCAAACTCATCAGTACGTTGCAGACCCTACCTCTAACAGCCAGACTAAGACCAAGACGGCGCTAAAGATGGCCCAGATTTACATAAGTCTCTCTCTCAGCCTTTGATGCAAGCAGATTGATACCATCAGTTACGCCACAACCAGCATCCACACGACTACCTAAATGTACAAGCTTTTTGAATAATTCTGACGACAACACGATAATTAAACGTAGGCACAAGCTCCCGTGGGCCTCGCAGAAGTGCCTAACATTAAAAAGGTCCAAGGTACATGCAACACCTTTCGAAATTGACCCATTTTGGGGAAGCCGCTATAGAAAATTTTGGGGAAATGGCACCAAAACCCCGAAAAGCTTGGGCAGGCTGAAAGTGATTCATACGGTAGACCGTATAGGCAAACTTTGCGATGACGTTGAGATAACAGAAACATGGGATTTGTTTATTAGAAGTGAGTAAACGGTTAGTAAACTGGACAGACAAACATATTCATATTTCTAAAAACCGACCCTGAAACATTTACTCACCGGCAGTTTTGTTGATGGAAAATCATCTGGCAGAGATAAGACAAAATCGAAAACGCCTCCAAAATAGTAACCACTTCGAACAGAAATAATCCCGAGCCATTCTAAAATTCAGTTATGCAATTACAGCACAAACTAAGTGGATCATTTTCACATGGGCTAACAATAACTCCAGAGATGTTTTTCAGTTTTAGGAGGGTTCTTCATAGGAAAACAGGTTAGGAAAATAGATAATATACTAACAGCTCAGCTAAAATGTGATAACCTTGGTTGAGCATATTTTGTAGCGTTATTTTCAAGCTATGTTACAATCCCTGGCAAAGTCCAATTTAAGGTTTAAAATGGGTACACTTTCTCCCTTTATTACTATTTCACGCAACTACTTTTGTCCTGAGTTAGGAAAAATTTGTTGTGAGAGCTCGTCAAGGCAAATAATATGACTTGTTTGTGTTGTGCGTTCTTATCGTTGCCCAATACCTTATATCTTTGTCACAAGCTTTCATAAACCGATTTTTATATTTGCGCTCGCATCTTGCTGTTTTGGCATTGTTGAGGGCATCCAGTAATGTTCAATTTACTGCAGACTAGCCAGTGGAATGCACTAGTTCTAATCAGTGTAATAGCTATTTATGGATTTGTATATCATGTAGTCGAGCGAGGTTGCCTCAGGTTAGTAAGGTTATCTTATTACCGAGCAGGAAGTTGGTAGATTGTAACGTGCTATAAAAAGATTGATAATACGAGCGTTTGGAGAAGGAAATTGTTTCGAAAGTCAGTAAATAATTCACTCAATTGGTAATGTGTAGGAAGACTAATTAAATATATTAGGAGGATAAACGTAGATGCCAATTGGAGAGATAAGAAGTGGGTGTTGGGAAAATACTTATTCTAATTATCTTCATCTAAATCGGTTATTAACCGATCATTATCACGTCACATCACTCGAAGCGCGTGAAAGTGCACAACCCAACATATTAGTTTGTGCTTCAAGTCAAACTATCAGAGTATTTACATCTCACTTTTGGTTTCAGGCTTTCAAGTGAGATTTCAGTGAACAGCTGTATGTCAAACCTTTTGATAAACTGCAATTTCACAGTTTACATTTGCTTCATAAGGGTAATCGAGAATGATTGTCTGAAGAAGTTTGTTAGTAATCCAAACATAATGGGCGGACCGAAATGCCAGAATAAAAGGGGAAACTGAGATGAAAATAAGAGAGATAGAAAGAACATTACAAATGGTAGCAACTGTTAACGAGACAAATGTGAGTGTACCTGGGTTTTTGCCCTTTGATGCGTAAATTTTCGCTGGCGGCCTTGTGGAGCGTGACGGTAAAGTCCTGATAATATGCTCCTGTTCGAGTGACTCAGCATACTTAAAATGTTATATTCTATTGTCAAGTAATCTCTTACTCTCTTGTAGCTCAGCCTGTCCTCGTGAGATTTTGTTTTAGCCTTATAACCCACTTGATTTCCCGTCTCTGTAGATGGTCTAAGAGACTCATGATTGTTCTAAATTGAAGCAGTGCAATGACATTATGGACTTCGAGGTGGGGCCGTACGTATGTTTTAATAGTGAAGCAGAATGTTCATGACATCACATTTTGAAAAGTTAGGTTTTAACTCACTGTCTAGTGCCCATTCTTCTATTTTTGCAAATCGTCTTTGGAGCTTAGGTTAATCTTGGACCAATGATTAGGCGCACATAACCTGTCTTACTTGGACCCCTGTTGGACTTAATGGAGGACGCAGCTTTTATCCGTATGTTCCCTCATTTGTTCATTAAACAGTTCTCCCATTACCTTTACTTGTATTGGGATTAATGAAACTTGTCTGTAACGGGCTGTATCTTTCCTACTCGTCTTTTTGGAGATTTGGTAGAGTGGCCTGTTTCTCTTTTCTTAGCACTTGACTTGAATGTTATCGGTTTCACACCAAACATGACTGTGTCACGGAGACTACTTCCTACTGGTGAAGGGATATGAACATCCTCAATTAGAAGCTGGCCATTTGTTAGTAAGTAATTTTCATTTGAAGGTTCTTTGTCCCTGTCTCATTTGGTGGCACCACACACATGTTCAGCCACTCCTAAAGTTCCGACGGCTGCTTATGGGACCACTCCGTAGGAATAATATCCTGCTTGTCGAGATACAGGGATATAGTATTGAGGACCCCAGCTGGTAATTTATGGCCAAACCACAGACATGTCTGTATAATCTCATCATTTCGAGTCTTAGGACCGTGGTTTAGGCTAATTATGCTGACGAATATATGTAGTAAGTTGTACCGATCGGGAGACGAATCCCTTGTAGCAGAACAATAAATCGAAGAGAACAGAAAGAAAATCGCAGAGGAGTGAAAACAAAAATTAAAGGGACATTGGATAGAGTAAAGGTAAACGAAAAGATGTACTTGGTGTATGATTTTTATATTTTACTAAGTCACTGTGTACTTTTGCATTGAACAACAGGTTGGTTATCCCCACCCGGGTTTCGTTCACTTCAGAACTTGTGGTTGCCGGCATAGTCCCTCGGTCAAATACTTTGTGCCGTTTTCAATTAGGCAACACTATTATGATTCTCAAAGCTCAGCTATTACGGCACTTTATAGTGTTACCGTTTTTTAGTGACCATTCATTTATATCAATACGAACGTCTAGGCAGTTCTACTGTACGCGGCTGAAACATAGAGAACTACAACAACCACCATCAAGAAGGTACAAGTATTTATAAATAGCTGTCTACGCAAGATACCCAACATTCATTGGTCGGATACCATCAGCAACAGCCTTCTCTGGGAGAGAACAAACCAGCTTCCAGCTGAAGAAGAAATTAGAAAGACTATGGAAATGGATAGGACATACATTACGCAAATCATCAAACTACTTCATGAGGCAAGCCCTAACTTGGAATCCTGAAGGGAAGCGGAAAAGAGGAAGGCCAAAGAACACATTACGTCGGGGAATAGAAGCAGATGTATAACAACTGGAAAGAGCTGGAAAGGATTGCTTCGGACAGGATTGGATGGAGAATGCCGGTGAGCGGCCTATGCTCCTTCACGAGGAGTAACAGGCGTAAGTAAGTAATGCATATCATCATTCCGCCTCCTTTTTTATGTACTCCATTGTATCTGAAAAATTGCATTCCTTGCAAGCTCACTTCTTCATCCGTGACGTCGAGAGGCAGCCATGTTTCAGTTTGGACTATGATCTTTAGATCCACCTTACAGCACATATTTATAGTTCCTTCTAGTTTACCGCTCAACTCTCTTACGTTGTAGCAGAAGCACACGATGGTTTGTTCCACCACCTGGTGCTCCTCTACAACAGCATCCACCTTATGGATGTCAAACGGATTATTGTGAGAAGTGTGTTGGCAAACCATTATTTCCCCTTTTGGTAATGATCATCATGAGAAACGGATTATTACCATATCTAGCAAGTGATAAAAGTTCTCTCTTTACTACCTTAGGCTTGTGAGGGGCTAGCTGGATTGCTTCTGAGAATACAGGTAGCCTTTTAGCCATGATTTATAACATTGGTGTTTAGATGCAACAGTCTTACCGATGATTTTTGACCTCGTGATATTTTCCGAATACAGTTTGAAAATATGGCACAACTGCATGTTTGACTCTGCATGGATGTAGGCTTCAATCACTCAATCTTCAGGGGAACTTGGGAAACAAATTTCTCCTTATGTTACTGTTTCGCGACTTCAATGTCCTTATTCTCCTCTTTGAAGGAAGTAGATTTCCGCCAGATTCAAAGTGCAGTTTCGTATACCAGGTAACGACAAAGTGGGCAACACTTCAATTTCACTAAGCGTTAAAGGTTGCCTATTATTAGTCTTGGATGTCCTCATGCAAAGAAATTTTCTAATTGTTTCAATATATCAATCCATCAACTGAGTATGCCACGTTTTAAAAGTTAAGAATAGCTAACTAGAACGCTTTTGCAGAAGGGTATTCTGGCGGAGAAAACAAAGTTCTGTTGGAGAAGAATAGTGTAAATTTCTTATGGATATCACCCTCCAGTCCGTTGATAGGTACAAACCCTAGTTGCCGACCACTAACAAACCCATTGGATAGTTCGCCTAATAGAAAAAAACGCCGATTATTATTATTTGAACACATGAATATTGGTACAAGAGAGCGCCAATACATATGCGCCACACGAAACAATTAGAATTCGAAGAGAAATAGAAAAAAAGGTAAGGAGCGCAAAAAAGAGAACAATAACGAAGAGATTGGTGTAAGGTAGTGTGGTAGTAATGAGGGAACGGAAAGGTACAATCAGAAAAATTTTTTCAGGTAAGGGAGAAACAACCACTTTTTATGAAGAAAGTAAAAGAAGGCTACAGCAAGATCGCCGCTGGCTTCTATTCTGAGCCATATCTGATAACGTCTCTAGCCACTGTGTTGCACCATCTCTCGGACCCCAACCAGGGAGTCGTGAAGGACCAACAGAAGCCGGTCCTTTGCAGATTTCCTTCATGCCACGACACCATGTCATACACTGACCACCTCTCCGCTTCTTCCAACCAGTCCCAGAGTCGGCAAATAATGCACAACGTGGAATTCTCTGGGACGATATTCGTAGAACATGTCCAAGCCACCGAAGTCGGTGTTTCAAGATGGTGACACCAATTGCATTATCGTCTCTGTGCCCGAACACACGGTGCTGAACCTCTGCATTACTAACATGGTGTTGCCACTGGATGTCAGCAATCCTTCGGAGACAGCGATGATCGAACACAGAGAGTCGTCTAACGTCCTCAACTCGGAGAGGCCAGGTTTCACAAGCATAGAGCAAAACTGCTCTCACCGACGCGTTGTAGATCCGACCTTTTACAGCCAGACTGTTACGGGAGAACTGAAGACTTTTGACGGATTAAAACCTTTTATTGTACATTAATAATTTACTGTGCTTTTGGATGTAATTGTTTTACTTAACTTTTGAACTTGTTTGTTTATATCATTATTTCGGACATTTTGGTTTGTCTTTGGTTTGGTATTTTGGTGCTCCTTTTGTCTTTGGTTTGGTATTTGGGAGTTTTGCTCCGGGAACCTACAAAATTGAAGGTTTGTTTTGTAATTGTTATAATTATTGTTATTAGAACGACATTTGGTCGATTATTTGTGAATTACGAATAAACTTGGTACCTGATTTGGATTTTTGGTTCTCTTGCCTACTTGGGTTCGTAATTTGCAAGTAGATCGATAGTCCGTACTTCAATAACTAGAACGAGCAAAACTTGGACATAACATAAAGTTCTTCAATTTTTGGTTCTGTGTTCATACCTTGGGTTTTCTGGATATTTTGGGTCCGAATTCCTGGTCTTATTGGTCGATTTCGTTTGGATTAATTCAGATTTGTTTTGGCAATTGATTATTTGGAACAACAAATACGATGGAAACACGGAGTAAAAGGCTGAAGGAAAATGACGAAATGGATGGTAACATTTCTAAAGCTGTTTGTGGTATGTCTGATGTTATTGATGATAAATGTGATGATGTTAGTCTTAATAGTATGTCCTCTAGCCAGCTAAGTACTTCCAGATTAAAGTTAGATAAGGCATTACTGAGGAAAAGGAATTTAGAGAAGAGACTTGAGTTAGAACGGCAACTTAAGATGTTAAATCTACAAGAAGAGGTTGATATCGCTGAACTAGAATGCAAGGCCATCGAGGACGATGGACGATTACCCGTAGATAAATGTGCGACAAATGCTAAAGTGGAAAATTATTTGAATCATGATACTGGGTGTAATAATCACTCTGGGAAGGTCTGTAACATCTCAAATGTCGATTGGGTTGAGGAACTGAAGGACACGTTACATACAATGGTTAGTAACATGTCTTTACCTAAGATCGATATGATGTACTTTGATGGGCAACCAGGTCAGTATTACCGTTTCATTAGTCAGTTTAATAGCCTTATAGAGAGTAAATTGTCAGATAAGGGCCAATTGTTGTCGTATTTGTTATACTATTGTAAGGGAAAGGCCAGGACAGCTATTGAAGCTTGCATTTCATTGCCCATTCATCTGGGTTATGATAGAGCTAAACAGATTTTGTATGATTTATTTGGTAAAGAACATCTTGTTGCACGAGAACTAATTATTGAGTTATTAAACCATAAATCGGTCGGAGGATCAGCTGACTTATTAACTGACTTTGCGATTAAATTGCGTAATGTATGTATAACGTTGATGGAAATGGGATACATGTCTGACGTTAATTCTACGGCTAATTTGGAGGTAATAGTTTCATGTCTACCACTAGAATTGCAGAATAAGTGGGTGGAAGTCGCCGATAAAATCATGATGCATGGGAAGGAGCCGAGCTTCGAAGAATTTGTGGTCTTTGTAGAAGAGAGGGCCAGAATTGCCCGAACCCGTTATGGTAGATTAGTACAGTGTAACTCAAGGTTCGGTAAAAGGAATCCTGAAGGCCAAGCTGATAAGAGATCACGCTTTCATGCAATCAGACGAGACCCAAATAACTCAGTCAAGGTAACACGTTGTGAAATCTGCGTAGGTGATCATGAGGCGACAGATTGTCCAAGGTTAGCAAAAATGAATGTAAAAGAAAGGAGGCAGGAGGTAAGAAAACGTGGTCTATGTTACTTATGTTTAAGGAAAGGTCACATAGCTGTGACATGCAACTCAGGCATCAAGTGCGACGTTGAGAATTGCAAGGTTGGGCATAATTCATTATTGCATATTGATAGTATTGATAACCATGTGGTGAACCTAAATAAGGATTGGAACTCCTCAAAGGTTTGTTTGGGGATCGTTCCAGTCAGACTATACGGTCCCAAAGGATGTTTGGAAACATATGCACTTCTAGATAGTGGTTCGGACACTTCTCTTGTATGTGAAGAATTAATTAATCAGTTGGGTATCAAAGGTAAAGAGACTTCGATAAAGGTGGCTACTGTGAACGGAACTACCAATTGTGAATGTTTGGAGGTAAATTTAGAGGTATTTTCATTAGATGAACGGGGTTCTATAAGGATCAACAAAGTTTACACGACCAAGAAACTTCCGATTGATCATGCAGCCCCTTTAACCGAACTCCAACTGAAGCGGTGGAAACATCTGAAGGACATAACCCTTCCTAGGTTGCAAAGTAATTTCGTAGGAATATTGATTGGGTGTGATGCTCCGGATGCACATTGGGTCCTGGAACAACGTCTGGGGGACAGGAAGCATCCGTTTGCTGTGCGTACTCATCTTGGTTGGATGATTATAGGTCCTAAGGGAGTATCAAGGTCTCTACATCAAGTTCAGTGGTGTCATTGTTCCACTAATGATATTTTGCGAGATTTAGAAAGACTATATAATCATGAGTTCGAGGATACAGATACGTTTCGTAATGGATATTCTGTCGAAGATAAAAAGCTCTAGAAATAGTTAGCAGTTCGTTTAGATTGGAGGGTGGTCATTTCCAAGTTGGTCTACCATGGAAGTATGATAAGCCAAGGCTACCGAATAATTTGGAACTAGCTGAACGCAGACTAGAATGCTTAAGGAAGAGGTTTATGAGAGACAACAGTCTTTTGGAGAAATATCAAGTTGTGATGAATAAACATTTAAGTAAGGGCTACATCATTGAAGCTAGTGAAGAGGGATTTGACTGTGATGCTGTTTGTTGGTATATTCCTCATCATCCTGTTATCAACCCTAAAAAGCCTGAAAAATTGAGAATTGTTTTTGATTGTGCGGCTGTCTATCAAGGTTGTTCTCTTAATGACCAGCTTTTGAGAGGACCGAATACTGTAAATAGTTTAATTGGTGTACTTCTGCGATTCAGATTAGGTAACGTAGCATTAGCTGCTGATATCGAAGAGATGTTTCTTCAAGTAAAGATCCCGAGACAAGACAGGGGAGCATTTCGTCTATTGTGGTGGGAAGACGGTGATATACGACGAACGGCTAAGGAATATTGTTTAACAGTTCATCCGTTTGGAGCCGTTTCCTCCCCCTTTTGCGCTAATTTCGCTCTTAAGAAGACGGTAGATATATTCGGTAAGGAATTCAATGAAGATATCCAGGATGTCGTAGATAGGAGTTTCTATGTCGACGACTATTTAGCCTCTATTGATAATGTACAGGATGCAATTGAGCTGGCAAAGGCCCTTGGTTCTCTCCTCAGAAAAGGTGGGTTTAGATTGACCAAGTGGATAAGTAACTGTTTACAAGTTCTTGAATCAATTCATCCAGAAGAGAGAGCAGAAGCCGTAAGAGAGATTGACTTTGAAAGACTTCCTACTGAACGCACGTTGGGATTATTTTGGAATACTATGGTTGATTCGTTCGAATTTAAAGTTCGCATACCGAAACGCCCCCTCACTAGGCGAGGTATATTGTCAAGTGTAGCCTCACTTTATGATCCTCTGGGATTGGTAGCACCGTTTATACTTCCCATGAAGCAGTTACTTCAACGTTTAGGTAAATTGGGACTAGGATGGGACGAAGAGATTCCAAATGAGGAAAGCAAACGCTGGTTAGAGATTTTAAGTGAATTTCAGAGGGTTGAGAACGTTAGTTTTCCACGTTGTGTATTGTTTCCGCAATCAGATCGTTCGCTCCTGGAACTTCATATTTTCAGTGATGCATCGGAAACTGGGTATGGTGCGGTAGCATACGTTCGCTCTTACATTTCTGACATTGAAATATGTTCTCGTCTTGTTACGGCTAAGGCAAGAGTAGCCCCCTTGAAGGTCCAAACTATACCGCGCTTGGAACTTACGGCAGCAGTTTTAGCAGCTCGCATGGGATACCAACTGCAGTCAGAATTAGATATTAAGTTTGCAGAGGTTAAATTTTGGACGGATTCCATGATTGTCTTACACTATATTAGAAATGAGAAAAGCCAGTTTAAAACATTCATAGCAAATCGAATTTCGACTATTCACAGTCTTACTAAGGTGGACCAATGGAGATTCGTACCTTCTAAAGAAAACATAGCAGACTTTGCATCCAGAGGGGTCAAGTTTGACATTGATGATGTCAAGGTTTGGGAGGAGGGTCCACATTTTCTCAAGAAGCCGAAGGAGTGTTGGCCTGCCGCTGATGTACAATGTCCTGAACCCCATCTCTTGGAAATAAAGAAGGCAATGTCGGCGCATGTAATGGCTGAAGAATCCACTGTTGATCAACTTATTAATTATTATTCAGATTGGACTAGATTACTTAAGGCTGCTGCGTGGTTAATCCGATTTAAGCGATATTTATTGGTAATGCGTTCTGGTAGAACTGATCTGTCTCTACAGGTGGGCATGCTTAGAGTTGATGAGTTAAATTTCGCTTGTTTAGAATTAATTCGATATGTCCAACGCATAGTATTTCGGAAAGAGATTGAAATGTTATTGTCCGATACCATTAGCAATGTAAAGATAAAAATTCGCCGTTACGAATCTTAAATCCAATGATGATAAACGGATTATTATGTGTTGGTGGCCGCCTTCAAATTAGTTCCTGGCCCGAGTCGAGGAAGCATCCTATAATATTACCATCGAAGCATACAATTACACATTTGATTCTACAGCACTACCATACTTTGGAGGGACATGTTGGAGCTACACAGGTAATGGCAACGGTCCGAGAAAGATTTTGGGTGCTGAGGGGTGGTGTAGCCATGAGGAGGGTGATAAAGAATTGTGTTTATTGTAAAAGGAGGAACGCCCGTCCCATTCAACAACTAATGGCACCATTGCCTCCGGTCAGAATAGAAGGTGGTGACTACCCATTCTTATCAGTTGGGGTAGATTATTTTGGACCCATTATGGTTAAACATGGTAGAAGTACTGAAAAGCGATATGGTTGTGTATTCACTTGCTTAAGGTTGAGAGCTGTGCATCTGGAGGTGGCATATAGCTTCACCACAGACTCATTTATCATGGCACTAATGAGGTTTGTCAGTAGGAGAGGCTATCCAAAGGAGATATACAGTGATAATGGATCAAATCTGGTGGGAGCTGAGCGTGAACTAAGAAGAAGTCTTCAGGGTTGGGTGCAGGAGCGTATACACTCTGCATTACTAAGAAAGGGGATTGACTGGCATTTCAATCCTCCGGCTGCTAGTCATTGGGGAGGAGTGTGGGAGCGCATGATTCGCTCTGTACGAAGGGTATTGGGTGCTCTTGTAAAGGAACAATCTTTAACAGATGAATGTCTTGAAACTTTCATGACAGAGGCTGAGCGTATAATTAACAATCGACCTTTAGTTCCCGTTACAGACGACTCGAACGATTTCGAGGCCATAACACCGGCAAAACTATTGCTATTGAGAGAGAATGTCGAGGAATTCACTTACACTCTACCTAATGACAGATTTTCTAAGAGATGGAAGCAGGCGAGTTACTTGGCACAGGTATTTTGGAAACGTTGGTCTAAAGAATATGTTTCGCTATTGCAACGTAGATATAAGTGGACCCAACTAGAGAGGAACATACGAGAGGGTGACTTAGTAATGATATGTTCCGAGTTCTCCGAGAAAAATAAATGGCCCTTAGGTCTAGTGCAGAGAGTGTTACCAAGTAGGGATAGATTAGTGAGGCAGGTAGAATTGAGGACAAGAAAAGGGATCATAGTAAGAGATATTAGAAAACTGTGCCTTCTTGAAGCCGTAGATGGTAGGTAGCTAGTCGGATCCCTAGGCGTACTGGTGTAAGTCCTAGGGATCACGAGATTGTTGGTGTATTGAGTGTTTGTTGTTGATTGTTTGTGATGCATAAACTTGGATTCTTGTTTATTTAATTGTCTGTGAAAAGAACCAAGGTTCTTTTGGTCGGGAGTGTTACGGGAGAACTGAAGACTTTTGACGGATTAAAACCTTTTATTGTACATTAATAATTTACTGTGCTTTTGGATGTAATTGTTTTACTTAACTTTTGAACTTGTTTGTTTATATCATTATTTCGGACATTTTGGTTTGTCTTTGGTTTGGTATTTTGGTGCTCCTTTTGTCTTTGGTTTGGTATTTGGGAGTTTTGCTCCGGGAACCTACAAAATTGAAGGTTTGTTTTGTAATTGTTATAATTATTGTTATTAGAACGACATTTGGTCGATTATTTGTGAATTACGAATAAACTTGGTACCTGATTTGGATTTTTGGTTCTCTTGCCTACTTGGGTTCGTAATTTGCAAGTAGATCGATAGTCCGTACTTCAATAACTAGAACGAGCAAAACTTGGACATAACACAGACTAACATCACAAAGGCGCCAAAGGTGGCCCAGATTGGCATAAGCCGTTCTGGCTTTCACTATACGTGCATTGATCTCATCACTCACACCCCCACCAGCACTTATGCAGCTAACCAGATACACGAACTTCTCGACTACGTCTATCTGCTCACCATCCAGGGTGAGTACAGGATTGGAATCCTGCCAGTCTTGTAAAAGTACTTTGCACTTCGAAGGTGCAAAGCACATACCGTACCTACGGACACTGATTGCCAACTGATTAAGTGCGGATTGCATGCCTTGGGCATTATCGCACAGTAAGACAATATCGTCCGCATACTCAAGGTCAAGAAGTCTTTCTCCAGGCAACAGATCCACACCACCATTACTTACATTCATCAGAGCTGTTTCCAGAATGTCATCGATGGCAAGGTTGAAGAGGAATGGTGAGATTGGGCAACCCTGTCTAACCCCACTGCTCGAATGGAACAATGAAGAAAGGTGGTTGTATGCCCTCACTCTGCCTGAGGTGTTTGTATATAGGGCCTTTAGGATGTTAATAAACTTCTCAGGCACACCCTTCTTCAATAGGCAATCACAGAGAACAGTCCTGTCCAACGAATCGAAGGCAGCCCTGATGTCAAGAAACACTACGATTGTTGGCCTTTGATAAGTATGGCGGTGTTCTAACATTTGGCGGAGGGTGAAGATATGATCAATACATCCTCGGCCAGGACGAAAACCAGCCTGCTCCTCGCGAGTCAATCTTTCTCGGGTTTTGAACAACTTACGAAGTATGACGGAAGCCAATAGCTTGGACGCAATCGGAAGTAGACTTATCCCCCGATAGTTGTTACAGGAACGACGTGAACCCTTTTTAAAGATAGGGACAACTATCGACTCATTCCATGACGTTAGTACACTCTCTAGTTCTCAAACCTTTGTAAACAACGTCGTCAATTCCTTAGTCAAAAAGTCACCACCATCTTTAAAAAGAGCCGGAGGTAAGTCATCTGGGCCAGGTGATTTGTAACGCTTCAAGAGTTGGAGTTCCTTGCGGACTTCCTCCTCGTTTGGTGGATCAGTCGTCACCGGCCATGGAGGGCAGGACAGTCTGACTGATGTTGCCGGAGTAGCAGGCCAGTTGAACTGCCCTTCAAAATATTCTGCCCATCGTCCAAGACGTCGATGGATGTTAGTGACTGGTATCCTGTCATCC